TGTCTTATAGGCTAACTACTTATGTATATATCAGTACAATATATTAGTATACGCAGTGGAAAGCGCGAGTCTGTAGACATTGTATATTAGTTGGTTGAAAATGGTTTAAGTTCGATGCAGCTCTGCATGTACACGAACTAGGCGTTTAGTTTATGAAATATCGATCTGAAATTTTCTTCGCGTAATTTTCTACCCAAGAGGCTTCTCTGCAGAACCGCTGATATTGGCCCACTATAGCATATAGCTGTCATTCAAACTGAGCGATTGGAATAAAGCGATTGTATGGAAAGCTTTTTCATTTGACGAGATATTTTCAAGAAATTTGGCGTCGATTATTGTCTAAGGCAATGGTGCAATCTCCGATGAAATGGTTCAAATCAGATCACTATAGCATATAGCTGCCATTTGAATCAAAATTAAGACAAAAGATCTAAAAAAATATATTTTGTCCTTATTAAGTAACCTAAATTTGGCTTAAAGTTTTTTATATAAAACAACGTGGCTAAATTGAATTAACAAAACCTTTTCCGTTAGATGAAAATCGTTGGCACAAACTATTACTTAATAAGCATGTATAGCACTTATCATTGATTGAAATAAAATTATCGCAAAGTGATGAATATCGTTCGGTGGAAATGTCAAATTGTCTTCCTTTCGAGTCTTCCTACGAATAAAGCTGTCACCTTCAAACCAACATATGATTACAAAACTAAAATACGGATCCCCTTAAGCACTTACATGTGCTCTTTTATTGTTCTTTAAAAAACTAATAAAGTTTTCTTTTTATTTTGCAAAACTCAGTGAACTTATGTCAACCTCTTTTTTTTTTTTGTTTGATAGTAGGGGGAAGCATCTAAAGCCGAAGTGCGGAACTTTAATCCGCTAAACCTAACCTACTCCCATCTCATATCTCTCCCACGGAACCACCGGATTAAGTATTACTTCATGGGAGAGAAAAGAACATTTAAGTCTACTCTACCGTACGGACTGACTGACTCCTAATCTGTTGTAAGTATCTCAGTTTTGTCATAATTAGAGCTGAAGCTTCGCTGACAGCTTTCCATTTATCAGAGGACTGACACATATGTGCTGTCAAGGTTTCCACGGTTAGACTACTGAGTGTAGACTTTAACTTTTCCCTAATATTCAAAAAACGGGGGCACTGAAAAAATGTTCAGAGTCTTCACAGAGTGCATACATGTCGGACACGGACTAACATCATGATGAAATTGGAATAGATACTTTCTAAAGCATCCATGCCCACTCAGTATTTGGGTTAGGTGGAAATTTAGGTCCCCGTGTCGTCTGTCTATCCACGAATGAATGTCCGGAATTAGTCTGTGGGTCCATCGTCCTTTAGATGAGGTTTGCCACCGTTGCTGCCACATTGTTACGCTCTTGGTTCTCTCTTCTTTTTTTACTCCTGAACACGGCACTGAGCACTGGTACAGTCGCGCAAATTCGTCCCCCTGGATGTCAATAGGCGGCATGCTGGCTAATACTTCAACAGCATCACTTGATATCGTTCGGAAAGCACTTATTATTCGAATTGCAGAAAGCCTATGCACTGCGTTTATTTGTCTAGCATATGATTTTATGTCAGGCGCTTGTATCCATATTGGTGCTGCATATAATACCACCGAACTCATTGCGTATTAAAAACCGCCGGCTGGAGCGCAGCCTCTATTGGCCATCATTCTCGATAGAGCATTATAGTTTTTATTCGCTTTACCGGAAGTATGCGCCAGGTGTTCTTTAAATTTTAATTTGGAGTCAAGTATTACTCCCAGATACTTCATCTGCGGCTGTGAAATAATCTCGCACTCCCCTATGGTGAGTGACAGTCTTTCTTCCACCTTCCTTGTGCTTATGAGCAAAACTTCCGTTTTCTGTTCAATCGTTGCATTATGTCAACCTCTATGTATAAATATATGTATATCAATTATATTATATTATGTAACGTAATATCCGAAATCGTGTAAGTATTTTAAAGAAAGCCACGTTTAAACGTTTAAAAAACACGATTACTTGGCGTCCAAATAAAAATATCTATAAGCAAATATTTGCGTCATAAGCTGCTTAGAATAATAATATTACAAATCTTTTTGAAATATGTTTTACATAATCACATATTCGCTCACATTTGACCGACCACTGCAATAAGTATGTCTGTGGAAAAAAAAATTTTGCCAAAACATAACGCAACAACCGTGAACAAGAGCCTTTGGCAATATTTTGTCGCTGCCTCCAGCCGAACGTCATTAATCACTGAAATTTATCTCAGAATATTGGCTGTTTGGCAGTTTGAGTTTCTGGCTTGCGCTGCCGGCTTGATACTCGTATATTTAAATGTTATCTAACATCACATACACACACACACTGGTCAAGAGAATATGATACAATACGTAAGTAGAAGTTAGAAAATAAACGACAATAATGCTAAAATTATTGTAGCAGCACAAAGCGGAACTCATTTGCAACACCAACGCCACTTCGTAGCGCAACAAAGCACCTAATCAGCGCCTTGAGTTTTATTACAGTTTGACGCGGCTTATGCCATATGTATGTGGCTGTAGAATTGTCTATTGAACTGGAAAGCCAGGGGCGTAGCAAAGTACAGTCAATTAGCAACAAAAGTTAAATAAACAGAAATCATTAAAAGACACCAACGCAACTATAATGCGCAGCTGCCACAAAACAAAGGCATGAGCGGGTCTAAAACAAACTAACCAACAACAAATGTGCGCAGGTTTCGAAAATTCCATAGACCAAGTTTGTTATTTGTCTGAAATATTTTTAGAAAATTCACATATTTTCTTTGTTTGTGTTGGCGTTATACTATCTGAAGTGGCAAACATGCCCTCCACGGTGCAGCAAACAAAATTTTGAGTCGAGCTCTTCCCCTCTTTCCCATTTTTATTAAACTTTGAACAGGGCATATTATCTTTGTAACAACCAGAAGGAAAATTCAGAGAACCTATAAAATATATATATAAACAAGTAAGGAACTTAACTCTTTGGATATAAGCCAACATGTTATACTCTTGCAAGGATCAAAGCCGGAGAAATTCTCATAGGTGTTGGCTAAACTTCATATTAAACAAGTAAGAAAGGGCTAAGTTCGGATGTAATCGAAAATTTTATATTATTGCAACTTGCAATAATCAAAGACAGGGAAATTCCTTCAGGAGCTGGCAAAACTTTATGTTAAACAATGTTGTTAAAGAATTAAACATTCATTATTCGATGATATCGTGAATAAATTATAATCAAATTTGCTTCTTGATTTATATTAGCAACATGAAGTTTAGACCAATTTCATTCATATTTTCACATAATTTGTGAAAAAACTTTGTCATTTATATTCATTATAATATCACAAATTATGACCAACCTATACAGTTAAAAGACAGATGGAAGACGTAAGTCATTTTACGGGGTATATTGGCGATGAAGAAAGTTACGGGATGATTGCATTAATTTTGACATTGCTCAGGTATTCTCGAGATTATATATAAATAATTCTCACTGACCGACATATTCGCCATAAAACTTGTTAGAATAACAAAAATCAATTTAAGTATTGTAGTATATGGGAGTTGGGGGTAGTACTAACCCGATTTTATTAAGTTTTGCCAATACTACAAACATGCCACAGATTAATAAAATGCTCCCAGAGTTTCATTAAGGTACCTCACTTACCATCATCAATCATATGGAGTAAAGTCAGCCGGATGTTCAAAAATCCTGATGTTAGGTATATGGGGGCTAGGTGAAGTTTTCGCCCAATTTTATCCATTTTATACACATTGACCACAAATATACGCTCTCTAATTTTTATTGAATCTGCGAGATAAAGTCACCCGGAAGTTCGAAAATCTCTGTATTAGGTATATGGTGGCTAAGAGAAACCTTCATCCTATTCAACTCATTTTTGACATATTAGGCATACTGTTATCAGAAAAGGATTTGCTCTGAATTTCAATAACATATCTCACAGGTTGATATTTTCGATAAAAATTTGGCAATAGCTACTGGATCCACATATTTGGTATCTGGGTCTTTAACAGTTGTACTCCGATTTGGACAATTTCCAGTTATAAGTAAAGACTACTTTTAGCGCACTATTCGGACAAAGTTTTATCCCAATAGATTCATTGATGATTCATTTGCATACTAATAAGTGAAAGAATCAGATGGAATTCTAAATTGCTTTATAAAGGAAGTAGGCGTGGTTGTAGTCCGGTTTCAACCATTTTCGCACTAGATTTTAGTTTAAGAAATTACAGATTTTAGTTTTAGATTATAGAATTTAGTTTTCATCTACGAACTCGTCCTCTCTTTTTTGCCAATGAACACGTGTACTAAGATTAAGTACGATATCTCGAAGTCTTGATTAGTTTTAGGTGTTTCAAACAAACGTTAGGTGAACAAAACTACTATATTCTCTATAGCAACATGTTGCAAGAACATAATGATCAGTATGATAAGATGAGATGATCCAGCCGTGTCCGTCTCTCTATCTATGGTAAGCTTTTTCTCCCCAAAGAACCGCCAATATCGGTACACTATATAATATAATATATTATATAACTGTGATACAAACTGAACTATCAAACCCAAGTCCTTGTATGGAAGCTTTTTTTATTTTTGAAGGGTATTCTAGATTTGATATTTTCTTATTTTATTTACCTTCAATGTTTGTATATTTGTTCTGAGTGTGAGGAAATTCATAATGACATTGCAAAATACTCTCTATATCAAATTGGTATAAAATGTCGAGGTCTTTACAACTAACACGTGATCAGTGGAGTAAAGGAGAAATAGAGGGATAAAAGCACTGAGCACTGATTAGCTTATTCTTTACACTGAGACGGAATCTTGACCTTAGGAGCCGTATCAACTGCAGAATTACGGTTACAAGAAGTTGTGCTTTTGCGATATCGGAAGCATTGAAGTATATTGCCTAAAAAGTAATATTAATATAAGATAACCAAGACTTGGAATTCAATTTTTAGAAATTTATTTGCAAACATGCAATCAACTATATATAGGTATATATTATACATATCTAATTATACAAAACTTATGAAGGTGAAAACCAACAACTGGCGGGTACTGGAGCCGTAGCACTACTTACAGGCCGCCACTTTGTTTAATGAGTGGAATTAATGTAATAGCTTCACTTTACCACCAACCGACTGAATGCGATGCATGTAAAGAGGGTAATGCAATGGTCTTATATATCGGGGCAGCATGCAGCACCGGTGCTGCGTAAGTGGTCTTCACAATGGGCGCTAGAATGGGTTCCACAGCAACAGCTGAACTGTGCACAATCGATGAGCTCTGATGGGAGACAGCGGTGGGGAAGCTCTTCACGACCGCGCCTACTTTGGCCAAAACCGGCTCATGGATGACAGTGGCTGGCGCCGAATAGAGCAGGGGCGCGTGTGAGAGGTAGCCAGGACGCGCAACGGCGACGGCAAGCAGAGTAGACAACAATACCACCTGCAAGATAGTAGAATATTTGAATATAAAAGGATATGGATGGAAAAGTTGATGTAGAAAACCTGGCACTCCTGTGCTTACCAGTTTCAGCATTTTGATAATCCTTTCTCGCTTGTCTGACGATTGCGAATTGTAGTTCTGTTTTGCAGTGAATTACCGTTGTGACTGTTGATTGCTGCTGACCAACGCCTGCTCTTTTATACAACCGAAGTAATCCAACAAATTTCCACCAAAAACACAAACATTTGTATAAAATAAAGTATCAACATGCACAAAAATGCAAAAGAGGAAAATCTACAGCAAAGACAATCACGTAAAGAATAAAAAAATATATAAACAAAATAAAATTACAATAATAAAAGCAGCATGCGCGATGCATTGGTAGCTTTTTTGGGGCGGGCACAGCGTTGCTGCAAAGTATGACCGAAAAGTGTAAAGTAGTGTATCGGGTCGGTGGGTTGTTGGGTCGGTGGGCCGGCCATTGTTTGCGTTTTTCCGCTGCTACGGTGGTTGGCCGCTGCAAATGTGTGCCATATGAAAACTAAATTATAGCAATAACAAAAACATCTGAAATAGAAGCACTCTTATTTTCATTTTCCCACTCGTGAGCTACAAGACTCGCTGACGCAGTCTGCTATTAACCGTTATACGCCCTGGCAGCATGTCTCTGCAGGTGTGTTCCATGATCTGTCGTTGTGGGCCGCAGAGTTTGTGTGTTTTATATGCCACGTTAAGCCGTTGGCACACTGCCGCAGCAACACCGAACAAATAGTGCACAGAAACATAAATACATACAACATGACTATATGGCCACATTTCCACAACAACAACAACTAGGCGGCCATTAAAGTATGTAGTTGCGATTGCATCACGCACATGCTCGCTGTGAGCGCTTTAATGGCTTTTGCTAGTGGCATGTTTGGCTTTTTTACTTGGCCATAAACCGATTTTTAACTGCCGTGTCTGTCTCACCGACTCATATTCGTACATCAGGCTTGACCGTGAAAAATCAACGCATTCGTTTGGTTGTGTGGTTTATTTGGCCACTTGCCGCTGATGCAACTAATGCCTACAAGACAACAACAACTTGATTGGTAATTGTTGTAAGTGCCTTTATTTTTATCATTACTTTGTTGCGCTCTCTTGTTGTGCCAATCGAACTTACACTGACTTACATGGAGGTGTCTCAAGTTCATGTTCACGCACTGTGCGTGTCGCAACAACAGAACATACATGCATACAAGATATGATGTGTGTGCCACACGAACCGGCTTTAAGCTTGTGACTTAAATGTGTGGGCATGTTCCTAAATGTTTTGTGGTTGCAAAGTGCATTTGTGATCTATTAGCCAACATGTGGTTTGTTACGAGGTTTCAATCAGTCACGACTTCCATTGTACCGTTATTTTGTGTGATATGTGGTTATATGCTAAAAGTCAGTTGGACGATGTGATATCACATGTTATGAGGTGATGTGTTCATCAAATCTCTTTGATTTTTGATTTGTATTCGCATTTATTAAGTGGGTATTATAATGTAAAAGTTAAAAAAAAATGCTTTGTTTCATACTATTATATATGTATTAAAGCCTTTCAAAAATATGTCCTTAAAATATTTGTAAAAATTTTAAATACTTTCGGAGATGTAGATACTTTATTGACGCAATATTGCATAGAGTTCTGCTTTTGTCGAAGCAAAACTAAGCACATATATAGGGTTATCCATTTCGAGGTTCCTTATTTTTATAAAGAAAAACCGCATAGAAAATTAAATCTTAGATTAATCAAATTAATGAGGAATGTTTATTATCAATCGAAAGGACATTCTTTGGGATTTATTTTGTGAAGACTATCTCTTTCTCCTCGGCTACGTCTCAGATGGTTCATCCGTTGAGTCCGATTTTCAGCGACTCGTTCGAGCATTTCGACTGGTGACTGGCGAGTGACATGCGTAATGTTTTGATCCAAGGCATCGACCTGAATCGAAGCAGGATTGTCCGCATAGACTTTAGACTTTATATATCCCCACAGGAAAAAGTCTAACCATGAGTGATATCACACAATCTTGGTGGCCAATAGTATACAAATCAAACATCAATGTGAATATTAGGGTAAAAATTTGCACAAACAGTGGCCTTAAAATATTTAATCTAACGCCCAAATCGTACTATAACTTTTCAAGGACTCAGGCACCACATGTGCATATGGCTGATTTTTTATCGAACATATCGGTTATTCTAAGAGTTCTAGTATTGAAATTCAAAGAGAATATTTTTGTGCCCTTGTGTATAAATGGGTAAAATACCTTCCATAGCCTAAATACCTAATATACATATTTTCCAACTTCCGGTTGACTTTATACCGCATCTATCGATCAATATGTATGAAATCTTAATGAAATTCAGAAATAGTCTTTTTCTAATAACAGTGTATTTTTTTTTTCTTAAAAGATGACATCACGGTCATTCACACAGGGTCATACAGGGTCATACAGGGTATACTAAGTTTGTCACGAAGTTTGTAACACCCTGAAGGAAACGTCCGAGACCCTATAAAATATATACATAAATTATCAGCGTGATGACGTTCTCAAGAATTGGGACTGTCTTAAACCAGAGCCTGGCAGATTTTGATAAAGGATTTGGGCTTGCATACGTATAAAATTTTTCTCACTTAAGAACTAAAGCCATTAGACCACCGTAAACGTCGTGAATTTGATAATTTTGCCTTGGAACAGATAATGATTGAAAAGGATAACGGTTTTTTGTGGAAAATTATCTTCTCCGATGAGGCTCACTTTCATCTGAGTGGTGCGGTAAATAAACAAAACTGTCGATTGTAGTGCGAAGAAAATCCACAAATTGTTCATGACTAACCATTATATTGACCTAAATTTATAGTTTGGTGTGGTTTTTGGTCTGGTTTAATCATCGGTCCGCAATTGGAAGAAGTTGATCTTGACAACATCTGGTTACAACAAGACGGGGCTACGTACCACACAACGCGTGTTATTGCGAGACAAGTTTGGAGACTCGATAATTTCAAGAAATTGTAACATTGAATGGCCTCCTATACTATAATACTACTTCTTGTGGGGTTATTTAAAGTCATTGGTATTTAGCAATAAAACAGACTCTCTTCAAGCTTTAGAAGTCAATATTGAACGTGCTATTCAAGACATACGACTTGATTTAGTGAAAAAGTACTCGAAAATTGGGTTCATCGAATTTGTTCCTGCGAAAGAAGTCGTGGAAGCCATTTGAATGATGTTATAGTCAGAACTTAATTATATCGATTATATTTAACATTAAATAAAAAACATTTGAATTTCCTTAACAATTAGTGTGTTTTGTTTTAAAAGAATTTTATTACTCTTATTGGAAAACCCTACATTAGACCGCTCTATGTATGCGTTGATTTACAGGGAACCAAAAAAATGGGAAAATCACGTATGGAAATATTCTACGGATATTTCTGAACAACTTTGCCTAAGAGAATATGGGCCTAAAAGCGGTTCCGAGCCAGCGTTTTTTTTGGAATTATAAAATTTTGGGATTATAAAAATTTCTTCGTCAGGTTTTGAGATATCGGAATGAAATTTAATACATCGGAATGAAATTTAATACATGTGTGCATTTTGAGATTCTATTGATCATTTGTCAGAACCGGCCAGATCGGACAACTATATTACATATCTCCCATACAACCGGTTAATCGGTTATTTTACTTTCCGGCTACCTGCCTTGAATTAAAAATCTGAGAGCTCCTAATTTTGTAGAACTGTTCTCTAACATATACTTAACAATAACAGTGAAAATTAAGAAAATCGTTCAGATCTCGCCCCAGTTATCATTGATAATTTAAGGTGCAATCTTATATTCGGAAGTTTAGTTTATCTTTTTTATTTAATTAACAAAAAAATTAGGTACAAAGTTGGCAGTTTCAAAATAAACAAAAATTAATTCCCGGTCCAACAACTGATCCAAGCTTTCATCCAGTCCATCACAACGTTGACTATTTACCACGATTTCAGAACCACTGGTGCAGCGTAAGTATGCACAACTGGAGCAGTGGCTATATAGCTTGTCTTGACAACTGGTGCAACAATATCCTCAACAAGATGGGCAGAGCTGTGCACAACCGATTGACTTTGGTGGGAGACTGAAGTGGGAATGCTCTTCACCACGGTGCCCACTTTGGTCAGAACGGGTTCGTGCACGGCAACTGTGGCGATGGGTGCGGAGTACACCACTGGATGGGAAGCAATGAAGCCTGGAGCAGCAGCAGCTACGGCGAGGAGAGCAGACAACACCACCTGAGATAACAGTAAAGATATAAATTGGTTTTCAGACAGTTTTCGCAATTCCAACTTACCAACTTGAACATTTTGATATTTTTTTGGGAAGGTCTGTGTTGTGCTATGTGAGTTCACAAATTCAACTGATGAATATTTAGAATGCACTTTAGCTTTTTATACAGTTTTACGCAGCCCAAATAATTACCCGAATTACCAAGAGAAATTAACATTTTTCGGAAATGTATTTTTGTTTTTTGTAATTGAATGCAATTTTGGTTGTTTACATTTTGAATTGAAAGTATACGGTATTGATTTTCGACAGCAGTGTTGGAAGGAATAAATTGCGTGAATATCTACCGGCGAGTTGCAAACAATAATAAAGTAATAAATTGGTGTACGCAAAGGCCAAAGAGTAACCAGAAATAACAAGCCAAACGGTAGCGACCGCGTCATTGAGACAGATAGACAGGCCATCATAAACGAATATTTCAATTAGTCTTGTGTTTTAGTTTTGACTTATTTTGCTTCAGTTAACTGATATGAATTTTTTTTATTTTTTTAGTTTTGGTTGACCTCCAACACGCATTTAAACTGCAAGTAATGTAGTAGTTAAAATACGTCGGGCTGAATGTAATGATAAGATCGCTTTTATGGAAGAAATAATACTCGTAATAACGAAAATAAGACCAAATTGCGAGTCTACTCGTAAACTAATCAAAACTGAATACGAGGAACAAAAAAAAAACAGAAAAAGGAAATATAAATGCTTGTACTTGGTTTAATAAAACAAACGGTTTGAAGTTTTATCTTTTTTTCAACAATGTAACTGTAATATTTTCTAACAATATGTTAAAAATTTCGAAATTTTTTAATGTAATTTGGCTAAAAGTGGCTCTATAAATAAAATTACGATTTTGGTGGTATAATAAAATATTTTATAATAAAGTCACTAAACTGTGCGCTCTGTGCTGTTCTTAACGGTTTAAGCAAAATCTTTCGACACATTCTTAATAATGTCAGTACCGTAGGAGTTTAAATCATACGGTATTTCCATACCCATGCTCAAATATATTATATAATATTCGTTGGGAATAATTTCGAGTATCGTCTTATTAAATGGTATCGGTTTCATAAGCGAGTTTTTTTTTATAAAACTAAACGTTAACAAATGATGAGCATACTAATGTGTTTTATACCGACCTAACCCCAGAAGGTATCTCCCCCTTTTTACGGTTTGGATAATGAAATTTAAAATGGTTTTTGAAGGGCTTGACTGTGGTTAAATTTTCACCGTTTGCAAACTATGCCTAGAAAACGTTAATTATATATCAAAATGATCATAATAAAGAAATCATTGATTTCTCTTTGTTTACCTCAATAGCTGTCAGTGCTAGCGCTAACTTGGGAAAATCTTAAAATATATTGACGAGACGTGAAGTAAATGTTGCGTGCTGACCGGGGAGGCTGGTGTTGTAAATGATAACTATTAGATCATTGTCAACACGAAAAACTCTGACTCTGTCGGCATGTGGGGTAGCAAAGAAATATAGTAATTTTTTTAGGTAACCTGGCCCTTGTTAAATTTCTGGAAGAATTAAAACGAGTTGATAAAAACCAAAAAAATTAATTAAAAATTTCAATGAATTCCATTTTTTTTTAATGCAAAATTCAATTTTCTCGGTTTGAACTTTATTTTGACTACAGAATGGGTTGTGTTCTAAAGTGCTTTTGGAGAAAGTGTAGTTGTTGTGTACACAAATGATTTCTATCTGTAATGAAAAATCACAAATTTTCCAGCCATTGAAAATTGTGCTAATTACTACTGAAACCTGCTGCGTTTGGGTAGCCCTTTGTGGAAGTTTTCAAGATTTGTGCTAGCCCTATCGCCTGGAATGACTTTACAACAATTCCAAACTAATAAAACTAGGTACGTTTGGTATATCGCAACAATACAGATTGGTGCATATGGCATACATATTTAAAAAATCGTAACCCGCAGTGAACTGCATCAGGCCGTGTAAGGTTCAATGTGTCTGTGCATGCGCACCATCATTCATTTGCACCTATCAACGATATCAGCTGCGTTGGTCGGATGTGTGATTGATGTAAGTTCACGAGTTTTGCAACAGAGTTCAATAAAAGGGCGTTTTATAAGATTTCGGCTGCGAGGGAAACAAGAAACTATAAAGAAGTTAATGACTTTATACTTTATAAGTATTTGTGAGGGGGTGTGTATTTAAAAGACATGTATGTAAGTGAGGGTGTGTGCTTTGACACGCGCTTTATAAGTTCGACAACACCTACAGCAAAAAAAAATTACTTTAAGTATAGAAAAAAATATATAAAAACGTAGCAAAAACAACATCATGTTATAGCATATCTATAAGTTCATAATAATCTCAGTTGCTTCAAGCATACAAACAGACCGAATCGATTGAAACTTGCTCTGGTTTGAAGGCCGTAAGTAAGAGCAAGCACAATTAGATTTTAAGAGTGCTTTTTAATTAACGAATTCTTTTTCAATATCAATTATTGAAAAAAATGAAATTAATCCCCAAACAAGTACCTAGATGAATATGAATACGTGTATGTAAATATATTTCTCAAAGCTCGGATTTCGTATAAAAAGGCGACGCGTTGACATTTTTGGCAACAGTTATCGTAACAACTTTCTCACAGTCAATACAGACCTACAAGAAACAAACCCAAAAATCAAAATGTTCAAGTTGGTGAGTTATTCGCAAGAAAAAATAAATTAAAAATTTAATTGAAATTGCAATAATTTATACAAAACCTTTATCCTTCTTCTTTTGCAGGTGGTATTGTCTGCTCTCCTCGCCGTAGCTGCTGCTGCTCCTCATGTCGTCGAATCACCCGTGGTCTACTCTGCGCCCGCTGCCGTGGCCGTTCAGGAGCCCGTACTCGCCAAAGTGGGCTCTGTGGTGAAGAGCGTACCAACCGCTGTCTCTCACCAGAGCTCCACCATTGTGCACAGTTCGGCGGTCGCTGTTGAGGATGTCGTGGCTCCAGCTGTCAAGACTACCTATTCCGCACCCGTTGTTGCTGCCGCTCCAGTTGTAAAGACTGTAGCTGCTGCTCCAGTTGTGCACCAAACTTATGCTGCTGCTGCTCCAGTTGTACACCAAACTTATGCTGCTGCTGCTCCAGTTGTACACCAAACTTATGCTGCTGCTGCTCCAGTTGCACACCAGACTTATGCCGCCGCTGCCCCAGTTCTACACCAAACTTATGCCGCTGCTGCTCCAGTTGTACACCAAACTTATGCCGCTGCTGCACCAGTTGCCCACTCCGCTCCTTTGGTGCACACCAGCTATGGCGCTGCCGTGGTTGCCGCTTCTTCTCCACTCACCTACACCGCTCACGGTTTGTGGTAAAGAAATAGACGACGCATAGATAACGGATTGAATTATGGACCTGAGTTGGACGGTTAAATTGAGAATTTTGTGATTGTTTAATTAAGTAAATAAAATTTTGAGAATAAAAGAAACTGCTATTCTATTTAAGTGCTTCTTTGAAAGAAGGGACCACATAGGAACTTATACATATGTATATTAGCGGTAATTGTTTGCGTATTTATTAAATTTGCCTGTATATTTTTGATTGGTTTCAGTGCAGAGCCGGTATGAGCAATCCGCAACTACTTAAACTTCAGGGTAACTGTTAATTGAGTTGAGAAGCTGCTACCAAAGTACTTACTACAAACAATAATCATCTTCATAATGAATCATTATCAACGAGGAAAGTTGTCTGCCATTCAATTCACCTGCTTCATATAGTGACATATAAAACATTTATTATTTATATAATAAAAATTCGACTTAAAGATAAATACATTTTTGTAGTAAAGGGTGTCATTTTTAAAACAAGTAGTTTAATACGAAACAAAATGCATATATGTACTTTAATATTGTGGCCAAGAATTTAGCTTTATTATAAAGATACGTGTTTGCCATTATGTTTTAAAAATGATATTGGGTAAGTGACCGCTGCGGCTGGAGCGAATAAATTTCGACTGAGAGTAATTTAATAAAGTCAGAGGTTTTGCTGAGGTTTAATAACATGAAAAGTCCCTGGGGACCAAATATGGAGAATGCGGTGGATCCGTAAGCAGTTCAGTGCCTAGGCCGTATCCATTGATTTTTATGACCAATATGTTCAATAAGTTCCTTTGTTGCCTTTAGAGGGGCAGTTAGTTCGACAAACTCATTTTACGGCCATGTATATTAATTTTTTGGGTTTTTTTTTATTAATGAAGATAAACATAATTTTTTATTTCAGGTTGTTTTTTAGTAACAAAACTTTCGCGAAAATTACAGTTTAGTCTACTAACAAGTTGTCTATACTTCTATACTATTAAATATACATTAGTCATTCGTATGAGAATGTTTTTATATCTCAAGAAAATGGTTGAATACACTAAAGTTATTTATTGAAGTATCACAAGAAAGTGCTTTGTCATACATATCCTGTAATATAGTCGCAGGCATCATCTGTAAATCATGTTCTAATTAGAGGTGATTAAGCGAGTCACCCTATGTTTGTGTTATGATTTCACTATAAAAAAATAGTTAATAGTAAAAGTAAAATAGTTTTTTTGTCTTAACGGTTGTTTGTAGCACCCAAAAAATTGAACAGTAAGTTTGGAACCGTAAATTTTTAGTGAAAATGCATATCTAGCACGTATTCGACAAGTTTTAAATCAACTTTAGTGGATTACAATTACCTTTTCATCTTTACATAATATTAACTTTTGATTTGGTGGGATATTGGACTATAATCAATCCTACTTCTTCTAAAACATAATTTTAAATTCCTTTCCACTATTTTACTTCACAATATATATATGAAAATATCAGAATACGACTTTGCAGAAAAAGTCCATTCGAAGAGTGGCACCTCTCATCTAAAATAGTCGAAATATGACCATAACTTTATATTTGGTTAATCTTTATGATATCTTAATAAAAATCAGAGGTCATCTTTTCCTGATAACTCGCATATTGGCCGATATATCCGGTATATAGTAACCCGTAAGTTTGAAAATCTTTGTATTGGGTATATGGCGGCAAAGAGAAGAAGCATTCATTCGATTCAACCCTTTTTTGACAGGCAGGTATACCGTAACCAGAGAACGATTCGATTTCTCCGATCCGATTTCCAATAACACATCTCCCAGATTGATCGATATTTTCGATAAAAAGTTCGCAACAGGTACTGGGGTCCCTATATTTGGTATCTGGAGGCTTGAACAGTTTGTAGTCCGATTTAGATGGTGGTGGGCGGTGCCCAGCGCACCGTTTTATTTTGACCCCAGCTCCTATATACTCCTCTGGTGAGATCTCGCATGTAAAATGAAATGTCTCTGCCGCATTTATTTATTGATTTATCGTGTTTTTATTGGTTTTTAAGAGAACCGTTATATCTGGAGTGGGCGATTTCCTTATATGTTCATAAAACTTTTTAGAGGGCGGGCCACATTTTTTTTGTCATTGCTACTGCAATCTTCTGTTACAAATTACAGTTTTATGTCTTAATTTAGTGCTTAGTTATGGTACTTTATAAATTGTGTTTCATTGTGTTTTGTGGGTGTGATTGCATTATTGCCTCAAATAACAATCGATGTCAAATTTCGTGATGCCTCGTCAAATGAAAAAGTTTTCCACACAACTACTTGATTCCGATTGGTCAGTTTTTATGGCAGCTAAATGCAATACCGGTCCGAAATCGGCCATTCCGACAAATGAGAAGCTTCTTAGTGAGAAAAAGACAGGTGCAAAATTTAAGGTCGATAGCTTAAACTGAGGGAATAGTTTGCATATATACAGACAGACGGGCAGACAGACGGACATTGCTGAATCAACTCAGCTCATCATGCTGATCATTTATATATATATTTTATAGGGTCTCCGACGTTTCCTTCTGGGATTCTTAATGTACCCTGTTTAGGCTTTAAAAATACAGAAAATTCAAATTGAATGGGGATTGTTTATCATCATTCGAAAGAACATTCTTTGGAATTTATATTTAACGATTATATCTTTCAAATGTTGGCCGCGGCTACGTCTTAAATGGTTCATCCGTTGAATCCAATTTTCGACTACCCGTTCGAGCATTTCGACTGGTGACTGGCGAGTGACACGCGTTGGAGCGTGTTTTGCTCCAAGGCAACGACATGAATCGAAGCGGGATTGCCCGCATAGACTTTAGACTTTACATATGTCCACAGGAAAAAGTCTTACGGTGTGATATCACCTGATCTTGGTGGCCAATCGACCGGCCCAAAACGTGAAACTATCTGCTCACAGAAGTGTTCTCTCAATAAATCCATTGATTGATGCGATATGTGGGAAGTTCTTGTTGAAACCAAATGTCGCCGAGATCACGAGCTTCAATGTCATTCACCAAATAGTTGATTATCTTGGCGCGATAACGGTCGCCATTGGCGGTTACGCTCTCACCGGCATCATTTTTGAAGATATATGGACTGAAGATTTCACCGGCACATAAAACACACCAAACCGCTGTTTTTTCTGGATGAAATGGCAGCTCTTGAATCTCTCTCTGCTCTTTGTCTCAAATGTGGCAATTTTTTTTGTTCAAAGGGTAAGGAGCTAGAAATGGGCCTCATCGCTGAACCAAATTTGGCTCGAAAACGTCAGATCTTTTTTTAACTTTTAAAATAGAGCGAAGCAAGGTCGCTTGGAAAAGTCGAGCGGCTTCGGTTCTTGCACAAGTTGTTTTTGTACGCTTTAATTTAAGATCTCGACGTAAAGTGCGCCAAGTCGTTCCATACGTCAGTCCGAGTTGCTGCGAACGGCGCCGAATCGACTCTCCACGGTCTTCGTGTACACTCTCAGCTACAGCCGCTCTATTTTCTTCACTGTGTGCGCGTCACGGTCTTTTCGAACGAACATTATCCAATAATGAATGCGAGGTCTCAAGATGAGTGATGAGCGAAGCGCGCGAAACACATTCTTTTGAGAACGTGAATTTTCATAAAAAAGTTGAACAATTTGTAAACTGTGTTCAGGCGTAAGTCTTTCCACAATTAAATGTCAAACAATACTGAATACAAATACTCTCAAATTTAGATTTTTAAACTTAAATGCAAAAAACGGATGTTTCAGATAGCTAAGTTCTCGAGGAGCTAGTAAAAATATTAGGTATATTGACGAAATAAAATAAATTTTAATACATTCCAATTTTGTTTATTCGTTTATAATTTAAACAGTTCGCTAATAAATATGTGTTTTGAAAGAAATTTCTAATAATAAGAAAATAAAAATTAAGGCGAAATCAAAAATGCTAATTTTGCTAAGAAACAGGCAGTCCAACTAAATCGTCGTAATCTCAATTCGTTTACCATAAGCCATTAATGAGAGGGGATGCGGCATGCAAATTAGTCAGAGGTGCAGACAAGTGAGCAACTGGAGCGTGCTGCAACAATGGAGCTGCGACAACATGTTGCACGGCTGTTGATTGTAACAAAGGAGCAGCAGCAACAGTTTGTACCACTGCTGGAGCGGACACTACGCTAGTTCTCACAGCAGGTGCAACAATATCCTGAACAGCGACCGCTGAGCTGTGCACAATGGTGGAGCTCTGGTGGGAGACAGCAGTGGGGATGCTCTTCACCACAGAGCCCACTTTGGTGAGCACAGGCTCTTGCACGGCCACGCTGACGGCAGGTGCCAATTGCACCACTGGGTGGGATTCGATGAGACTAGGGCGAGCAGCAGCTACGGCCAGGAGAGCAGACAATACCACCTGTCAAATAGGAAATATAAATGTTGAGATATTGCTTTAGCGTGTGTGTGTGTTTCAGTGTACATGACTGAACAACTTACCAACTTGAACATTTTTAAAGCTGTTTGTTTGTTATTTGAAGGTCTGTATTGATTGAGTGCGTTAAAGAACTGATACCGTTCTTAAAATCGAATGTAGTATTTATATCGTTAGGCGCCCACATAACGCTAATGTAAACCTGCACCTGCGTTGACAGCCGATAAACGCTGCATTGATTGCAACTCAGTCCATAGGCTGCGCTGCCAATGGTGACAGTCTTGTCATGTGTTCAATGAGCTGCAGAGTATGCGTGCTTGCAGTTATGCATATGAGTGCACATGTAGAGTTATAACGGCTTAATATAATACAATGCGGGCGTCTGTGTATTCGAGTAACATGTGCGTGTTCTCCAGAGTAATTAGAGCCGAGTTCTGAACCAGTTTAGGTGGTGTTAATGAGACAATTTTGCTTTCGACTTATTACCATTGAGGAAATATGATTTGAAACATTTATGTACGCACATATGTACATACAAATGTTCGCTGCATTAACGTCAGCCAAAAGCACATAAACAAATATACAAACTCCGGTGCGACTTGTATTGTACCATTTTCAGCTTGGCTTAAATAAATGGGTTCGACTTACTGGAAATTCCAAAGTTGATACTTAGTAGCAATCAAATTGTTTGTGAAACAATTAAATATGATTTATGCGGGCATTTACTTTATCAAAATTATTATCGATTTCAATTCAATGCCATATTTGCATATACTTAATCCCTGAATGGTTTGGACGAGCACTGTTATATTTAGTACGTTAGCGCAAGAGTAAATATATCTAGAATTTTCCACAATTATTGACAAAATTTTAAGTTCGAGATATTGCTGGATATATTTAGTACAAATATCGCAATGTGCCCGAAAACATACACCAACACTTTCATTTAATTACAACAAAGGTAATGAGGACCTAACCCCTGAAATAAGAAACATAGCGAACACTCGTCCCGTAAATAAAGATTGTAAATTGTCATCAAAACTTGATTAAAGCCAATTTTATTATTTCGTTGCACATATTTATATTAAAACCCCGGTCGTAAGTCAAAATTAAAAAGAACGTCCAATCTCATCATATGAGTCATTTTCTTGAGTGTAAATAATTGTTTTATTAATTAGTAGACGTCCAAGTCGGTTATGTAGGGGTCGTACATGGATAAGTAGGAGTTTATTCTGCTAAATTATTCAGAACGAAGTTACTCAAGGGTCTCTATAGGTTCTCGGGGCAGCTCAAGCTTTTCGTGGGGCCCCTAAGCATGCGGTCCTCGCCATGTGAGTATTCAACACGAGACATCAAAAGACATCCTGCATCTTCGTCGCCTGCGTTTCACCAAATCCTGGCGACCATACCGGTTCAGCGTAGTTCATGATTTGATTGCCTTGTACAACATGTTGCCGCTAAGCGCTGTGGTAGTGCTGTGCACTTTTCGGAAGCCATGTTGATGGTCTGCTATCGGAGGAAGATTCGTTCATGAGATGAAATCAAGTTCTTGTATGAAACACTTTTTTATTTGACAAGATGTCTTCACGAAATTTAGCATAGATTATTGACCTAGGCAACTCCATCAAAATCAAGAGAAAGTCTTCATAAAAGATCTTTCATTCATTCCTTAGTAAATAACCTTTATTCGACTGGAAGGTTGTTTATGGTATATCAAACATTTTAACTAGAAAGAAGTAACAAAACTACGTTACGTTATGTTACGTTTCTAGATTAAGTTATATATATATATACAGTCGCTATAAGAAATGCAAGGTAGTATAGTTTCGGTGCAGCGGAAGTTAATTTTTTCATGTTTTTTCTTCAGTTCATCACTGCAATAGCGGGGGGCGTCTTTTACGCGGTCGGATATCGAGTGTTAACTTGAAAATTTCATACTCTTGAAACTCGGGAGTATCAAAGCCGGGAAAATACCTTCAGGAGTTCGCATTATTAAAAAATATGGCGAAAGGGTGCAACTTTAGTGTTGGACGTAATCGTGAAGGCATTACAATCATATTTGGTATCATATTAACTTATTTTCAAGGTCATAGACTCACTTAGTTTTATAACTATTGTACCTATGTTTTACTTCCCGTCAGCAAAATTTATACTTAAATCATGCTCAAATGAGATGTATGTGATATAAACTCAATCGAAAATGAAAAACGTCAAGCAAAGGATCGAAATTCATTATATTTGGGATATGAGGTTTTGACACAGACCGATTTCATTTATATTGAGCGCCAAGCTCAGTGGAATGGTTGATTGCATTAATTTTTGACATTGTAACGGTAAACATACATACATATGGAGTAAAGTTAGCCGAATGTTACAAAATCGAGAATATCAGTTATATGCGGGCTAATGCAAGTTTTCGGCCGAGTTTATCCATTCTCGACACAAAGATACACTGTTATTAGAAAAATACTCTCTTTTAATTTCACTAAAATAACTTCCACATTGGCCGATATATGTGGTATAAAGTCAACTAGAAGGTATTTGGGGCTATTTTTGGCAAAAAGTCAGCTATAGGCACTGGGGTCCACATATTCGGTACGCGGGGGCTTGAACAGTTATGGTCCGATTTTGAAAATTTTTAGATTTGGGATCTGAATATAGACATAATAGCATCAGGAAAGGATTCTCTATGAATTTTGATTGTATTTATATCTCACACATTGACCGATATTTTCATTAAAAAGTCAACTATAGGTACTAGGATCCACTTATTTGGTACCTAAAGGCTTGAAAATTTTGGTTCAATTGGCTTAATTTAGGTCATTAGGTGGCATACTTTAAAGACACTATTGTATACTGAAAAGTGAAGTATCAGATGTTATTTAAAATTCTTTTATATGGGAAGTAGGCGTGGTAGTGGTCCGATTTTGTCCATGTTCGCGCTGTAATATAGGAATGTTAGAAGAATGTTATATACTTTATTTAGTTAAAATCGGTTAAGTAGATTCTGAGATATGGGTTTTAACCTAAAAGTGGGCGGTGCACGCCCATTAACAAGTTTTGTTATTTTGGAAGCTGTAAAGCTTTTATTTATCATCTTATGTGTAAAATTCTATATTTTTGACTTGTTTATTTAATGCATTATCGTACTCCAAGTCGTTTTAATCAAAACCGTTATATGGGAAGTGGGCGGGGTTATCACCCGATTTCACTAATTTTCACACTATCGGTAAGGGTGCTAGGATTTGTCTTGAGTGAACATGGTAATTATAGCTTTAGTGGTTTAGGAGATACTATACACATTTTGTTATGATTTTTAATGAGTTTTTAGGAGAAAATTTGTGACTTCAATGAAATTTGTCATTGAAATGAAACATTTTGACGATTGTTTTTATATACAAAACAGAAGGGGAACTTAACGGTTGTTTGAATCAACAAAAACTAATCGAGTTAGATATAGTGTTATATATAAATATATACTTGTATATGATTATGATGAAGAGACGAATTAAAATAGGGATAAGTGTCTGTCTGTACGTCCGACTGTCCGTACAAGCGATAACTTGAGCAAAAATTGATATATTTACATAAAACTTGGTACACATATTCCTTGGCACCCAAGGGAGCTATTGCAAATAGGCGGAATCGAACTAAAACGAAGCACTAAAATAATATATAAAATTGGGGAAGGACATCAGTGTTTGAAAAATTATTTTTTAAATGGGCGGGGTCCCGCCTCGTAATGTATATAGCCCCTAAGCCATTCGAGCAATATGATTCAAATTTGCCCAAAATAAATATTCTTGAATCGTCTTTCGACAGTGTGAAAATAGATGCAATCAGATGATAACCCCTTGCTCCCCCCATATAACGGTTTTATTAAAAACTACTAAAAGCGCGATAAATCAACAACTAAATGCGCCAGGGACATTAAATTTTATACGCGGGATGAAACATTTGGGCTTTATAGGAGCCGTGGTAAAAATTGGACAATGGGCGTTGCACCGCCCACATTTAGGACTTACTAGACCAATTTCAACCAAATTCGGTAAATAACATAACTCTGGCCTATTATACAGATTTATTGTTACTAATTTATGAATTTCGGAGTGGACCGTACAAAATTGTAATTTTGACAAATTTTTTCAACTATGTCTCTCGCTTTGCGGCTCTTTTTCCACGCGTGCAGCACGAGAGGTAACATTTTTCATTACAAACAAAAACTGACTAAAAATAGTTTCAAATTGAAAAAAAAGCAGAGCAAAATCGTAAACAATAGGCTGAATAGTTACTTTTATAATGAAATACTTTTCTTCGTTTAGATAAATGTTTAAAGGCACTTTTTTCAAAATTTGAAAATTCATAATCCCATAATAATCATAACATTTTCTTTTATATTCCCATTTGATTTTAACAATTGCTTGTTCGATCCGCCATTCTCTACTACGCGAAATATCGCTACCTATTATTGAATAATTGAAATGAGTTCGTATTGTAAAAGAAAAATGTATGTCCGAATATACAACTTATTTAATGAAATAATTTATTAACAATGCGCTGATTCAAAAGTCAACAACGTTATTAGCTAATTATTGTATGCAGTTAAGTTATTTTATATATCACAAAGTCAGTGTACAAAATCTTTTATCCATTTTATTCTCCTTTGTCGTCCGTTTACCAAGATGAGTAGTGAGTGTCGTAAGCCAAAGGCGCAGCATAACTGTGCACAACTGGAGCCGCGCCATATGATTTGAAGACAGGGGCAGCGGCGGCATATGAGGTGTGCACCAGAGGAGCAGAGTGGATAGTCTTAAAGACAGGAGCGGAGACATAGCTGGTCTTCACAACTGGTGCCACCACATCCTCGATAACATGAGCTGAGCTATGCACAATCGACTGGCTTTGATGGGAGACAGCGGTGGGAATGCTCTTCACAACGGAGCCAACTTTAGCCAAGACGGGTTCTTGGTATGCAACAGCTGCTGGAGCCGAGTACACAACTGGGCTTTCATATAAGTGGCTTGGGGCAGCGGCGGCAACGGCGACGAGGGCAGCAAGGACAAACTGGTGAGAGGTGAAAATAAATTGTTAAAATATGGTATTTTCAATCATCCTACTTTGAGTATGTGATCCAGCTATATGCAACAGTTAACTTACCAATTTGTACATTTTGTTAATTTTTGTGTTTTGAATTCGTAAGAAAAAACGATTTTTGACTTTTGAGCTTTGTTAGCTGATTGATGTCTTTCTGTTGAATATCCGCTTCTTATATAGTTTTTTTGGCATTTAACCGAAGCAGTGTACTCCCGAAAGCAAAATATTCACGATCATGCTGGCCATGTTCCGTGTGTGAGTAAGAGAATTTATATTTGTGCTTATAAGCTTATTGCTGGCTTGGGCTAGTATTGTACATGTGCATAAGTCAGCTGCGCGCTCTCTCTACACCGAAAATAGATGTATGTACATGCTGTTAATCGTCCATTGAATAGCTCCAGCAATATTATAGAAAAAGATCTATGTTCTAGGTAACTTAATTATATTATACTCCAAACAGTTGTGTATACTGTATGTTCATAACTCTTATGATATTCAGGAGGGTACTAAATTTTTACATGACGATGTCCAAATCTATCAAACTTCAATTTTTCCAACTTCGTAATATATTATATACAGATTTCATCTTGGTATACGTAATATCAAGATTTTTGAACTTCCGGTTGACTATATACCGTATATATCGGTCAATATATAAGATATCTTAGAAAAATTAAGTGAACGCATAACACAGAATATACTTAACTTAATGTAAAATATGAGAATCGGTCCACAAATCACCCCAGCTCCTATATACTATACTTAATGTTTTCGTTATTCTATCTGACTTTATGCTGAATATGCCTCTCTGTGTAAGTTATATTTATGAGAACATATCTCGTGTTAACTTAAGAAGTTCCAAAAATAATGCAGACCAGACTTCTCTAGCCCCACTTTACCCGCTATAGTGAATGCCGGCTTTCCACCTAACTCTAAACCGCTTATGTTGGTCTATATGGTGATATTTAAATGAAATCAAGTAGACAAGTTTTTTTTGATTATAATGGCTTAACATTATAACATTATTTAATGATATGACGGCCAAGATGTAAAATATAAAAATAAAAACTATGCAAGTTCTTAACATAAAGATTTGCAAACCTAAAAGTATTTCAACTATAAATATAGAATGCGCAATATCTGGTCAGTAAAGGCAAGTAGTTACTAGTTTCAAGCATAAGATAACTCACTCTGTATTCGCACACTCTCTTGGTAGGTCAGAAGCAGCCCTTAACTATTTCGGATTTCTCAACTATTTGCATATTAAGTATCGTTGTTCACACCACTGAAATATGGACTATTTAATATCACGAATAATTTACATACTATTGTGGTAAATGTGGAGAGCACGCACCCAGACTTTTCCACATAAAACGTTTAAAAAACGACTGATAGTCGCACCCACTAACACAGGTCAATTGAAAGCATTGTTTCTGATCTACACACTATTTAATTTACTATAAGCAAAACGTCCACATATGCGTACAGAGTATGACTTGGTTGTATCAACAAATAAATATATTTATACCAATATTGTTATTGTTAATGGATTAATTAAGCTTCATGGTTATTTACGTATGGTACGTAAAAGTATAAAAGCGACGGTTACGTGACCGAAAGACATCAATCAGCTAACAACGTTCAAAAGTCAAAATCGTTCATTCTTACGAATTCAAAACACAAAATTAACAAAATGTACAAATTGGTAAGTTAACCTCACTTTATAGCAGGAGACATTGTTAAAGTAAGATTTTTTAAAATGCCATATTTTAACAATTTATTTCCACCTTCCTGCAGTTTGTTCTTGCTGCCCTCGTCGCCGTTGCCGCCGCTGCCCCAAGCCACTTATATGAAAGCCCAGTTGTGTACTCGGCTCCAGCAGCTGTTGCATACCAAGAACCCGTCTTGGCTAAAGTTGGCTCTGTGGTGAAGAGCATTCCCACCGCTGTCTCCCATCAAAGCCAGTCGATTGTGCATAGCTCAGCTCATGTTATCGAGGATGTGGTGGCACCAGTTGTGAAGACCAGCTATGTCTCAGCTCCTGTCTTGAAGACCATCCACTCTGCTCCTCTGGTGCATACCTCATATGCCGCCGCTGCCCCTGTCTTCAAATCATATGGCGCGGCTCCAGTTGTGCACAGTTATGCTGCGCCTTTGGCTTACGACACTCACTACTCATCTTGGTAAACGGACGACAAAGGAGAATAAAATGGATAAAAGATTTTGTACACTGACTTTGTGATATATAAAATAACTGAACTGTATAGAATAATTAACTAATAACGTTGTTGGCTTTTGTATCAGCGAATGTTAATAAATTATTTTACTTTTGAAAAAAGCGTAGACAGATTACTTGCCTAAATAAACAACAAATTATGTTAGTTAGAAGAGTAAAACGTGTGAATGGCTTCATGATATAAGTTCTTCGTTTGTCGTTCAAGTGAGAGTTTCATCTGTATGAATATGATTTGAGACATCTGCATGAAAATGGTACAAGTAATTCTTTGCGAAAATATTCCTTCCAGTTTTTATTTGTAAAAGTATAAACAACTATAACCAGGTTTGCAAATTTCGAAAACACTGCCAAATGTCCCAACGTGCTTTCTGTTCATTTCTGATGTAGGCCTGAATTATAAGAAGTCCTTAATGTAACTTTAAAAAGTTGCGAGAACGAAACCAGTTTAAATATTGGGTTATAGGAGTGGCAGATTTTACTTGAAATTCAATAACTAGAGTTCAAGTAAAAATAAACTGTTTTCTGATTACATCCTCTAAATACTGTGTGGAATATGAACCAAATCGGGCTCAATCATCAACAAATATATCTTAAAATTTAGCATACCCGTTGGTAAACTTATACCTACTACATCTATCAACGTCTGAGGTTTTTATACCATTAATAATAATTCTAAGTATTTATCATTTAGTCTAAATTATTTTAAGATCACCCTGTTTTGCATGCAAATCTTGTGACATGTTAACATTTTAAAGTGAAATAGCAGAATCAAGCATTTCTTGAACAGTTCTTTCCTTTTTCCGGCGAAAACAGGAAGGTAACGCTGAGATTAAGTCAAATTTTTAATGTTTGATATGACAAAATACGGTGCAATTTGAAAGCTGATCCGCATATTCCTAGTATTACTTAAATAACTATTTTACCATGAACTTTCAAATTACGTCTGTTGAGGATCGAGGCTATGTTTTTCCGATCTTCAGCTTTTATCCACCCCAGATTTTTTACCATAGAATTGTTATACGAGTACGCCCTAGTGCAGTGTTGTAACATTCAAACTATTTAGTGTCTGTTCTCATGTTACCGCAAATATATGAAGAGAAATTCTCTAACTTTGTAAATTGTTTTGCCACTTATAGACCTCCCATTTGTGTCTTCTGAAGCGTTGCTTATCATGATCCTGTCTTGACTAAAGTTCGCCCAGTGTGAAAGCACCGAGTTATCACCGTCTCCCATCAAAGACAATCGATTGTGCACAGTTCATCTCATTTGTAGAGGACTTGGTGGACCATTCTCTTCCTCTGTGCACACCTCATATGCAGCCGCCACCCTGCATCAACCACACGCCGCTATTAGATTATAACATTGTTGACTCCGAAATCAGCAAATTAATAATAAATTATTTAATTAAAAGTTATATATTTGTTCTTTTACTTTGGAGGATATTTTCGAATGCTTCCACTTGGAGTATATGTAGATAACACTCTTTTCTACTTACATATATATATTACTGTCCTATTCATGTGACAAACAAGACTTCGAAACTCGTTACTACTAAAGTCTTAATTCCACATAATTGGCAAAAACCAAAACGCCCGCATGTGTTGTACACTGTGACCTTTTTTGTAAATGGCCATCGACAAAATTTTTAATGACTTTATGTAAACAAGACAATAGTTGCTGGATACTGACTTTGATGGTAAACCTTTGTACGAGTCTGTCACCGGCTTCCTCATTATATTGACTCGGTTTATAAAGTGTGGTCAGGAAATCTCTCCTTTCCGTGAGTAAATTGTACTATAAGACACTTTGTAACTCAAACTTTCTATAATATGGTCAATCAAAAAGGAAGTAGTTCCAACCAAAATAAAAATTCGATAAGCAAAACTATATTTTCAATATAAAGATATTAACACAAATTGATTATCCATAAAATCGGATTTTTGAAACGGTTCTCCTATTTAAAAGCTCAATCACTAAAGTTATGTAAGTGAAAAAGTCTACAGATCTAAACCGTCGTTAGCTGTGTCTTCGGTTTCGAAGTAATATGATAAAAAATTTTAAAATATATTCTCATCGATTCGTGATCAAAATAACTAAGAGAATGTATAACATAAACAAAATGAGAGTTCCGTTAACGGTTCGCTCATGCCACCAACGTCGATACAGAACCAGCGCCAACAGTAAAATCAATTACTTCATGAAGAAATGTTCTATTTTATAAATCTTATAGTTTGATCTGATTTTTGTTTGTTGTTGTTAATTGTTCTATTGTAAAACTTCGTCACAATAACCTTTTCAGGGTAGACGTGCGAGGCTGCGGTAATTACAAGTCGCTGCTTCGTTGTCCAAGCTCGGCGGCTAGCTAACGAGCGCATTACCGCGGCGTAATGAAAATAAGAGTGAGCTTCGGCTTTTTGCTCTAATGGATTAATTATTTGTTTTTGGTTGTTATTATTATTTTGTGTTTTCATCTGAACTTCACGCCGTAATTGCTTTCAGCTCCCGCTATGCGGTGTGAAAGAGCGCGCACCTGTGTTGTATACGTGTGTGAGCAATCGCCCTCACAATCACGCGCTATTAATTGTGTTTCTAAGTAAGTTAAACGCCGTCTGCGCATGCGTAGTCTATGACTTGCACGTTTCAGTAAAGTTTTGCAGCATATTTGCTATTGCTACGATTATTGAAATGCCGCTATTAATGTTTCTATTGTAGTTTTTATTGACTTTCAAAGCATGAACTCTTTAGCGTATAAAAGCGTTGGATACTTAACCGAAAGACATCAATCAGCTAACAACGCTCCAAAGTCAAAAATCGTTCATTCTTACGAACTCTAAACACAAAAGTTAACAAAATGTACAAATTGGTAAGTTAACCTCACTTTATAGTAGGAGACGTTGTTAAAGTAAGATTTTTTAAAATACCATATTTTAACAATTTATTTCCACCTTCCTGCAGTTTGTTCTTGCTGCCCTCGTCGCCGTTGCCGCCGCTGCCCCAAGCCACTTATATGAAAGCCCAGTTGTGTACTCGGCTCCAGCAGCTGTTGCATACCAAGAACCCGTCTTGGCTAAAGTTGGCTCCGTGGTGAAGAGCATTCCCACCGCTGTCTCCCATCAAAGCCAGTCGATTGTGCATAGCTCAGCTCATGTTGTGGAAGATGTGGTGGCACCAGTTGTGAAGACCAGCTATGTCTCAGCTCCTGTCTTTAAGACTATCCACTCTGCTCCTCTGGTGCACACCTCATATGCCGCCGCTGCCCCTGTCCTCAAATCATACGCCGCAGCTCCAGTTGTGCACAGTTATGCTGCGCCTTTGGCTTACGACACTCACTACTCATCTTGGTAAACGTACGACAAAGGATAATAAAAATGGACAAAAGATTTTGTATACAGATTTTGTGATAATGAGTAACATATTTTTAAGGAATAATTAGCTAAAAACGTTGTTGACTTCGAAATCAGCGATATGTTGAATAAAGTATTTAGAAAGAAACGCTCGTTTTAAACTGGAACTTTTAAAAGTTTTCGGGTATTATTTGTATCCTTTAGGTGATTGGCTAGAGTAGTAAGTAGCATATTTGCCGATGTATTCTGTTACTCTTCTTTAACTTAGGTGTTCGTATAGTTCGACTTTAATATCAAGACATTCGTTCTACAAAAACAATAGTTCTACTTTTCAAATATTTACCGCGGTATGAACTAAATATTAACAAGTAAGGAACGTCTAAGTTCGAGTGTAACAGAACATTTTATACTCTCGTAAGGTAAAGTGATATACTTTGATCAATATATCTTATTTATCGCTTGCACGGTCAGACGGACGGACAGACAGAGAGTCACCCGGATTTAAACTCATGCCGTTACTCTGACCATTTATGTAAATATATATATATATAACTCTATATTGACTTCAATTAGTTCTTGGTGATACAAGCAACCGATGAATAAAACTATTATATATATATAAATTTAATCTTTCAACAATGTCTCGAGTTGTTATTCAATGATTCGTATCGATCAACGACTTTTATCCACATCGATTTCAAGAGGCCTTCAAGGATATGGTGCGGAACGAAATTTCGCACACCAAGCTTGGTATTGGTGTACGGTCAACACATCTTCTCCGTACACATCATATAATTTTCGCTTTACTTGAACTGCATTTTTAAGCTTTTGATAGTAAAATAGTACAATTTTTCGAAAATGCTGTTTTCGATCTTCCATCTTCGATAGTGAACCAAACAAAAACTAATCCAAAAACATTTAAGAAAATTTTTTACAAACAAGCCTTACTATATCAGCACTTCAAATATATAAGAGTAAAGCGGTTAAGTGTGAGGTTGGTTGAGAAAAAATTTAATAAGTTCAGCTGTCATCATCAAACGAAATTATTTGGTGAACGACCCAATACGTCCATATTGGTAAATGTAAACGCCAAAGGCGCTTCTATTTTTTCTTCTAGAGGCTAAGTAGAGGTTTTCTATTATTTGCTGTGAGCGTCGTGGTTATTTTTAATACTTTGAAGTTGCTCCGAAATATATTCGGAGTTTTACTGATAAGTACCGAGCGAGAGGCGGCTGGGCGGCGAATATTTTTTTGTTATGTTGATTAGAAGCTGTGATCGAATCCAGGATCGGTCTAATGGTAGAGGATGCCTGTAAATCCCAAATTACAAAACGCAGACCATAACGAATACAATTTTTATATACACAGTTCTTCTTCAACTCGTTCGAGAAGAGTTCGTATCATTTATCTGTTTAATTGCGACCGACCCTTATATTAGAACACCGTTTGTTAATATTGATCAAGGGTTCAGTATACATTTGTATAACAACACTTGACTGTAATCAGAATTGCCCGAATACAAGTAAATACGGCATTTCGTTTTTGAGAACTCGTTTTTTCGGATTATCTCAACAGTAGTGTTGTTGCCGTCACGATGATTATGCACTTTATATCCAGAGTTAACTGTTGCCAATATTTAGATTTTCGTCGTTGGTATATTTAAAGAAACCATGTTAGGCTTACGGGTTTAATGAAATAAATGTTCCTGTTATTTGAGAAAAAACACAATTTGAAGCTGTGCATGCTTTATTCACTTTCAATCGGTGTCTCAACATTTACATTTACATATTCAATCACATTTTCAATATAGCTTTAACACTTTCTTAATTCAAACCAAATTAATACTTTGTTTCCATTATTCTCGATAATTTATTTCTTCAGTGCCCAGGCATCCCAATCCTCATAAACGGTACTCGGTTTCCAACCGGAGCTCCAGCCGCCATAACCACTCTTCAAGCTAGGCGAGCTCCAGCCATCGTACAAACCGGCGTAAGATGATGTATACACGGGTCCATATGAGACAGGCGGCCAGGCGACGCTTGTGCTGGGTGCATAAGTTTTAATTACAGGTGAATACGCCTTTACAACGGGCGTGTAGGTCTTAAATATCGGCGTATGCTCCACTATGGGACGAAGGTAGGGACGCTTCTCATGTATAATGGTTTGACTCTGATGTGAAACTGCGGCGGGCAGTGAGTGCACCGTATGCCCGACCACAGTGGGCGTATACTCGACATGCTCAGCTACTGCTGGTAAATACTTGAGGCTAGGGCGCGCCTGGATCGCGGCGATTGAAAGGACGAAGGCAAGTAGCAGCGGCTAATAGCGAAAATTAAAAGTGTTTAGCGTGAATTGAAATATTTCATTAACCGTATTTTCAAAACTTACTAAGTTACACATATTGCAATTCTGTATTATTAAGGTACTTTTCTGGAATGATGTCAATGCGGTAGCTGCCAGAAAACTATGCCAAACTTGGAAATTGAATTCTATTTTATATCACCAACCAGCATAGTTTAAATTTAATTCCGTGGAAGTTATTTTTTTACACTTTTTGTAGTTTTTTGTAGAGTTTTGAGATGGTTTCTCATGCAGCACTGAATATCCCAAACACAATGGAACCATAATTTAAGAAAATGCGTAAAGTAAACCAAAAATACGTGGGAATAGAGCGCCAAGACGCCGAAGTGCACTGAAGGGGAACGACTCCATGCCAACTCCCACAATTTAGTGGCGTAGTTGTAGGTCAGCAGTATAACTGACCAAGTTAACAAATTATTTGCCGTAAAAACAAACGCTTACAAGCTTTGCACTGAGGCGATGCGGCCGACAGTGACCACTTAACACTTCGAGGCGGAAAACTTCGTAACTGAGCAACCTTCTGTCAAATTTGTAGCAACGTTAATTTGAATTATTATTACTTTGTTTAAAATAGTATTGTTGCCATATTAAAAAAAAAATGTATTTGCGAATTGTGGTATTAAAAGGTATATTTTTATTATTTAGAATGAGTTAGTCGTTGCCGCGAAGAGCTAGCATACTTGCAAATCATCGGTTACACTAATTATAAAATAATTTATTAATAGGTATTACATAAAGGATTAGAAAGGAGTTATTGCTACTAACCGAAATGGAGGAGTTTCATCAATTGTATTCTATACTGAATTTTCAGATATATGTACATATATGCAAGGATTAAATATCTTTCATACCCCAAACAGTGTATATTTATATTAAGTTTGCCACGATGTTTGTAAAACCAAAAGGGAAACTTGGGGTACTGTTCATAATAAGTATATAAATGAATCGATTATTGTTCAAGGTAGTAGTGCTTCAATTTCCCGAAAAATTATACAGATCGGATTATTAAAGCATATAGGCTATTCAAGCTTCGGTACCAACGAAGTTCACGTATTTTCTTGTTCAGCTTTTATTCAATTTAAAAAACGTAAACTTGTGTGAATAGAGAAAATGTTAATAGTATTTGTAAATTTATGATTGGTCTTGATAACTATTTGATTTGTTTTTTGTTTTTTTTTTGGTTTTTGCTTTAGTCCATTTTTGTATATTTTATGTAATTTGTTCTCTTTAAAGTTCTACTCGTAAAATTTAATTTGTTTTATTAATAATAAAAATTCATTGTGGTTCTGTATTTAGCACTAAATGTTCTTATTAGACCTTTTGTCTTCTAGACATGATCGTTTATACTCGTACACATATACATATGTAAATATAGATATAAAAAATATTAATAATAATATCTAGATTAAAGAACTTTTGATAGCTTGAAAGTTAATTAAAGCTTGATTAATGACGTTGATTTTATATGAAGTCACAGCCTTGAACTTAAAGAACCTCTTAAAAAACAATTTTTAAGGTAGTAGCTTTCAACAAATTCACAGAAATTATTTTATGTGTTACGAAAACAATTCGCTCACACTGTATGTCTATATATAAACACATATGTGTCTATTTTTGGTAATGTTCGCACGGCATCATTGAACTCCAAAAGCGTATAAATCACTTTTCATTCTTCCTTATTTTCCTTGTTGTAACAATTTCCAGCAAGATATTTTTCACACTCTTCGCTCAGCTGTTTAGCTGATACTCGTTTTAACTTTGATGTTTTCGTGTGAATAAATCAAAGCAGATTTGGTAATAGAGCGCAATTCTATGAAAGAAAATTAGCATAAAGAGATGTTTTTAGGCAAAAACCCATTGCTAAGATTCCTAAACATATGTATGTATGTACATACAAATCTCTTGGCGCACAGGTATCACTTAATGTGAAGATATGAATAGCAATGCATGCAAGCATTAGGGTCAGTCTGTTCGATTTTTTTTGACAATTGAAGAAGTATTTTATTTCTTACTTTTTCATTTATGGTACAAAAATAAATTGAAATAAATTAATTTATGAAATGTCTACTTACATATATATAGCTTCTACCATAAGTGGACTTCTCATTGTCTTACAAATAAAAATCAAAATGTGTCTTAACAGATTAGACCAGTCGAAAATTTCCCAAAAAAAAGACTATGGTTTGTCTTAGTGTACACTTATGTGTTTCAAATCATGACTCAATTATTAAGAAAAAAAATTTAAATCAAATATGCTTTAAACTACCAATATTTAGTAAATCCTAAATATATTTTATTTTAAAAACAATTAACTGACATTTATTCGGTAAAAATTACACATTGTTTTTTACAAGTCCGAAATTTTGCGGAAAATCGATGTAAAGCAAGTTTATATTGTGTGTCGGCAGATCTATCATAGACAGCTTCATAGCTGCTACTGCTTGATATAGAATACGGATCATACTTTTATGAATAAGACCGACATTTAATTTGATTGTGAATTTATCGAACTTTTCACATTTCTCATTATTTTGAGCTAGCTATTTGAATTTAATTTGAAATATATGAAAGTAATTGGTTTCTAACGGAAAACTATATATTATTAAAAACGTTAACTTCGATTCACCAAAGCTAAAATACCCTTGACGCATAAACAAGTTTCCATGGTGAAAGTTTTTTTCGATCATTGTAGCGTTGCTTTGGTCAATAATCTGTGCCAAATTACGGGAAAATATTTCGCCAAATAAAAAAGTTTTCTTTACAAGAGCTTGATTTTGATCGTTGGGTTGGTAAGACAACTATATGCTATAGTAGAATAATGCGACAAATGCGACGAGCTGCTTATTGGAAAGGCAAGGACGTTTGCGAAATCTCAGTTCGATATCTTAAAAACTGAGAGACTTGCTCGCATATATACAAACAGACAGCCGGACATGGTTAAAATGACATATATTTTATAGAGTTCCGATGTTTCTTTCTGAGTGTTACGAACTTCGTGACAAACTTAACATACCCTGTTCAGGGTATAAAAATACTGATGAGATACAATGCTTATTTATTGAGGGATACAAAGTAATTTTCTTTTTTTTTGTGAAGAAAATAAGAGTATAATAATTTTGGGTTTCAAATATTTTTAAGTAGCGCTTAGAAAAGGCAATTACCTGAAAAACTTAACGAAGTGCTGTGAAGAACTAGCCAAACGTACTCTAAAATAAATTTTCAAAACTATTGTACTTATCATATTTTCCTACCTTCTATCAATGGTCGAAGAAGCAGTTCTAAACAACGAAAGGTTTTATTTAGTACCACCCTAATGGCAATGATGACTATGCTTTAGTTAATTGCTGGGTTGGTTAAGCAGCTGTTTGTGTCGACTGAGCGTTTAGACCACTTCCTTCTAGCGATCCAATGTAATACAAATAACATTTATTTTATTTTATCTTATTTTATTTTTTTTTGCTTATGCTAGCAAATCAACAAACCACAACAAATTCAAAAACAAAAAGGTCTTAATTATATCATTAAGGAAACAACCTATCTGTATATTGAAAACCTCATAATTCACATTAATTAAATATAAATCATATCGAAGTACACATACATTGTATATACATTTTAATTAAGTTATGTATAATCAGGGCTAATTTGATAACTAATTGCCGACTAATTTCTTACCTCTTCAGACACATTTACTAATTGTGTATGCATAGACTTCCTCTCACATCTTTATTTACTTGTGACCTTCAACGTTAAATTTAAACCATTACATTTACCGTTTTCTAAAAAAAATATATATTATATATACATACACATACATACAATGTGTAAATCTTTTATGCTTTTTGCACAGATCTTGGAATATAAATTAAAACCAGATTGCAGAACTATAAAAGTCAATTACGACGAAACTTTCATGTTGTCACATTGTAAATTCAGAAAAACCGTTGTGTAAACGTTTGCAAGCATTACGAAAAATAAAGACAAGGTACAGGTTGTTTGTGGAGAGGGGTCAGGTGTCAGTGTCGGCTGTCTTTAGTCACACCAAATTAGCATTTCATTAACACCGTCACTTTGTCTGGCTATAAAACCACAAAGGTGGAGGAAAAAAGTTAATAATAGTTTGATGTAACTGTAATGTAATTATGCACTAAGCCATAACTGTGAATTATGTTTGATCAAATTTTCGTATTTTTTTTCTTGCATATCGTCCATCTGCTATTCAGTTGTAAGTATTCGGGTGATTTATTCACAGAAATTAAAGTACTTATAATACTCTTAATATACCTATATATTAAGATATTGGTTTCAGTTAATAATACTGTTGCAGATTTACATTTGTGTTCAAGAAAGAAATGCTCCAAAAATATTTCTTTTTTCCTGTGAAATTAAGCGCGCAATATTCGAAACTTTCGGGGTTTTACGGTATATATCAAGCTCAAAGGGGAGAAGAGTTTTTCTGTGTTTTAAATTAGTATGTCGGTTTTTATAGTCTAGACTTTAGAATGTATGTGGTCTCTAATATTATATGGGAAATAGAAGTGGTTGTAATCCGATTTCGCCCATTTTCGCACTATAACATGGAAATATGGGGTTTCACCTAAAAGTAGGCGGTGCCACGCCCACTGTCTTATTTGGAACGCGGTTCGTATAAAGTCATCTCATACCATCCCAGAGATAAAATTTAATGTCTCTGGCGTGTTTAGTGATTGATTTACTGCGCTATTTATTTAAATTTTAAACTACAGATGCCCTTTCCTAATTTGATCCTGTATACCAAATTACAGTTTTGTATCTTATTGTGGTGCTTAGTTATGACAATTTATTTGTTTTTGATTAATGGCGTTTTGTGGGCGTGGAAGTGGTTCGATTACGCCCATCTGCAATACCAACCGTCTTACGGTACCAAGAAATATGTGTACCAAGTTTCATAAAGACATCTCAATTTTTACTTAAGTTACAGCTTGCATAGACGGACGGACAGACAGTCACCCGAATTTTAACTCGTCACTTCATTTTGATCATTTATATATGTATAACACGGTTAGGAAACATCGCAGCTCCTAAAAAATATATATTAAAATGATCAGAGGGGCGAACTGAGTCGATTTAGCCATGC